ACTTCTTGATACATATTGTTCATATTTTTCTGTAAGGTTCAAATGTTTTTCTATAAATGTTATCAGTAATATCGATATGTTATCACGATTAAGTTTTAAATGGTTAATAAATGCAATCATGTATGTCCTTACATCTGTTTCTGTCTTTATAGATTATAAAATGAACTTTTATTTAGAGTTGTCCCAATCACGACTAAATATCTTATAAACATGTTTTTGAAGGTTGACCGATCTCTCACTTTGGATTTACGTTGACTGGTTGGTTCACAAGGTACACGTAATATAATGCTTATACAATAAAATAAAATTAGTTTTTATAAAAAATATATACACATTGTACAGTCAAAAGTTTAACACTAAAATAATGCATATCTATTTTTCCTTTGGTATCAAACAATAAGGAAAATTTATACTTACACATTATTTAAAATAAAACATAAAGCTTCACTACTCTTTTGATACATATTTTTTTTAATGTGAAACTTTTTTTTTATTTCAATATGGTATTTATTTTGGTAAATTATGTTTAATTTGGTCTTTCTCCTTCACTTCATCTAAATTATTAACAAAAGATGGACGGCGTGTGTCACGTGTCATTTTATGATTTTTCGATTTAATTTTTTTTTCACTTATTTTAATTTAAAAAAATTGTTCACGTATCAAATCAACATTATGTTACGTGATAATATTAGTACCACATGTCAAGTCAGTCTCAATATCATGTGTCAAGTCAGTGTCATGTGTCAAGTTAGTATCAATGTCATGTGTCAATGTTAGTGATGTCAGTTTTATGGACACATGTCTGTGTCTTGTATTTAATTCAATCTCAATTTTCTTTAGGTTTTTTCAATTTAGTCTCAAATATCATTAATTTTGTTCAATTAAGTTCCAAATTTAAATTTTGGAAGGAAAATTCTTTATTATTTTTAAATATAAATGAAAAATTCTTCATTGTTTTTAAAATTAAAAGGACATTCTTTTCATTATTTTTAAAATTAGAAAAAAAACATTATTTTTAAAATTAGAAGGAAAATTCTTCATTATTTATAAAACTAGAAGAAAAATTCTTCATTATTTTTAAAATTAGAAAAAAAATTCTTCATTATTTTTAAAATTAGAAGGAAAATTCTTCATTATTTTAAAACTTAGAAGGAAAATTCTTTAATATTTTTAAAACTAGAAGAAAAATTCTTCATTATTTTTAAAATTAGAAGGAATTTTTTTCATTATTTTTAAAATTATAAAATAAATTCTTCATTATTTTTAAAATTAGAAGGAAATTTATGTATTATTTTTAAAACTAGAAATAAAAATATTTATTATTTATAAAATTAAAAGAAATTTTTTTCATTATTTTTAAACCAACTCTAACCCTATTTTTTACATGTAGGAAAAATAAAAAATAAATATAATAATTATATTATAATAATACATTAGAGTTTATTTAAAAATAATAAAATGAAACATTTAATAAAAATTTGAATTTTAATAAAAAATAAATTTGGTCTCAATTCAGACAGAAACAAAATTGGAACTGAATTGAACAAAATTAACATAAATTGATACTAAATAGAACAAAATTAACGAAAATTGGGATTGAATTGGCACGTGACACTAGCACTGATACGTGTCACTAACATTGACTTGACATTGTCACATGAGACAATATTAACTTGTCACGCAGAAAACTTTTTTTAAATTAAGAAAAAAAAATACAAACATACATTGTTTATCATTTCTTAACAATTTAAACGATGTCATGACAAATGACTAAATTGAACATATTTTACTAAAGTAGAAGCCAGATTAAACATAAAAAAAGGTTTTATATTAAACAAAATGGACGAAAATAAAAATTAAAAGAGTATTTAAACCAACATCAAATAAACTAACAATATTTAGTATTTGAAAAAGAAAATATGATTATATTTGTACTTGTTGATGTTCTTGATTTAAAAAAAAAAAAGTTGAATATAGTCTATACTTATTTTTATGCGTGGTTAATTTATATATTCTATATCAATACAAATATTTTTCTATAAGTAAAAATTTATTTATTATCCAAATAGGTGATATCCACAAATTAGATTTCATGATACAAGTATTCACCTACATTGATTAATAAATCAATAATAAAATATTTTCAGCACTTATTTATAAAATATTTATGGTAGATCTTATCAGAAAAATACATGGTGCACTTATTTTTTATCGTCTCTTTTATACACGGTTACAGGACAGATAGGTGAAAACAAAGTTCAGAATTTGACTTTCCAAATACCAAATTCTAACATGTAGAACAAATCGGGCTTTGCGGAAAATATAGTGTATAATGTGTTATCTGATAAATTAAAAAAGAAAATGTACTGGAAAAAATTTGGTAAACAACTTTTGTGTAATAAAAGAAATTAGATAAATGGATATACTGTAATAAAGCAAATTTAGAAAGAATTTTTAACACAGCTTAAAGTATAATTCTCTCTCTGTTTTAAATTTACCCAAATATTTTAAATGAATCATATTTATTGAACATTCACCATATTTTTTATGATCTTGTCTCTATTTAATGAATACGTAAAAATATATTTATTGAAATAAACTAATTATATATTATATAGAAAATTAGTATGAGAAATTTTCATGTAAGTATATGATATATATTATTTAATTAATAATAATTTTGTATACTTAATTATTTGTAAGCTTTTAGTGTGCAAAGCTGCCGTACTATAAAAGAAATGCTACTGTATAATAATAATGAGTGTTAAATTGATTTAGTTAATCTTTTTATTAAATAGTCACGCAAACTAAATATAAAAAGATTTTATTATTATTATTATTAGGACCCAAAGCTGCAAAGGGTTGTTAAACTTACACGTGAAGAAGCTATTTCGTAGATCAACGGCCAATAACCGTTCACATGGCACAGGAATAATGGTCAACAAAATAAAAGCCCAAATAATATAAACATTAAGATAGTTTAAGTAAGCTTCCTTGTTAACTCAATGTTCTTATCCAACCTTAAAAAAATGACATTTTATATGTCTGCATTCAAATAATCCAACAACCTTATTAACTTTTCTCCCTTCTAAACACCTAACTTTCTCTTTAAACTAACCAATTAATTTACCTCACTATTCAGAATAGTACAGATACCCTACCACTTTTGGAGCCCCTGCTCAGTGTTAGTGTTGATATTTTATCATAACTAGCATGGATATAAATGCACAAATTGCAAGATTCTTCTAGTTGAAACCATCTTAAATAATATATAATTATGTTAAATACTCATAGAAAGAGAAATAACACGTATATATGTGTGTGTGATGAGTTTTTGTTTGGTGGGTGAGTTCTTGCACAGTGATGGTATGATGGCTGAATCTGATAACGAGTCAGGAGGAGGAAAGAATGAATCTTCAATCTGCAGAGAGCAAGACAGGCTCCTTCCCATAGCCAACGTGGGCAGGATCATGAAGAAGGTGTTGCCGGGCAACGCTAAGATTTCCAAAGAATCAAAAGAAACCATGCAAGAGTGTGTGTCTGAGTTCATCAGTTTTGTAACAGGAGAGGCTTCTGATAAGTGTCAGAAAGAGAAAAGAAAGACCATCAACGGAGATGATCTTCTGTGGGCCATGGCCTCGCTTGGCTTTGAAGATTATGCAGAGCCCCTCAAAGCTTATCTGCACAAGTACAGGGAGATGGAAGGAGAAAAAACTGCTATGATTGGGAAGCACCATGGTGCTACTGGCTTTTATGCAAATCCACTGTGATCATATTCATGACGGTCACATAAAAAAGGATACATGTGTGGATCTCTGCTAAAGTTTGTTGCTTGAATTTCTGCTGTTATTGTGAATATAGGTAATTATGTATGCTTATAGGGATTTAGGATCTTTATATTCCTTTTCATCTTAGTTTGCTGCAGGGATAGGAACTAAGAGTAGGAATTGTTAGCTTGTTTCAATTGCAATATACTATGTATACATTTCAATTTCTAAGTGGTTTGCATTTGAGGTCCAAATAAAGTAAGAGGGTCAAATATTTAAGCTACTTTGAAGCTGCCTGCTTTGGCCTGTGAGTTCTAACTAATCATTGCTGCAAATATTTCCAGAAGTTTTCTAGCAGCTTTTCTGTGACAGGCCTCAAAGGTTTGGGGAGTCTTATACAAACTTAAGAATGAGATCTTTTTCCTATATTTTTGTTTAAAATTTATTTTGAAAGCCTTTTTTTAGATATGGAGTATTGCAGTTATGGCTGAGCCTACAAGTAAAAAAAACCAAACTGGAAGCACTTTGATATACTTTGAAGAGACATGAATGTTTTAAATATGTCAATCTTTAACTGATAGGAATGAATGTAATGATGAACTGAACAAGTGAGATGATGACAGCTTAAACCCTTATTATACAAGGTAATGAATGGACAATTTTATTCCCACGATACTTTTTTTTACATTTTCAATGTTATACAACATCTTTTACAATTAAGAAAGAAATCGAGAGTGAATAATATAAATAATCAGGAAATAGAAGGAGTAATATAATAGAGAAAAATAAAAATAAAATATCAGTTGTAAGAAAATTATATTAGAATACAGTTTCTTGTCATAAAGTTATTGACAAAAGCAAATTAGATTTTATATGGTAGCATAAATATTTCAGTCACATATTTTACGTACTTGGAGAATTTAAAAGCTTTTCAACGGAAAGATATCTACTATATATGGTTGTTTCGTGTTGTCTGTAGTGTAGTATTTACAGGCCTTTTGTCAAGGGAATGAATGGTTCCAGAATGAAAGAGGATAGAAGATATTTTCAAATTCTTCAGTATACGGTTGTAATTCAATATGTTTCGGATACTGTTTTCTTTCTGCTTTGCCAAATGGAAGGGTGCATTAACATGATGCATCTTATATCACTGTCAACAATCTAAAATAATTCGAGGAGATTTTATCAAACTAGGCATAAATCAGTATTCAAGTTTTCTTAAACCATCTTGAATTTCATTATCACAGCAATTGTTTTTCGAATTAAGAGACTTACTGAGTCAGGCTTAAATAAATTTCATTCTTTTACTATTACAATCTTATTCAACTAATGTAAACATAATTGCCTAATGTAGATCTGCATTGTTGTTCACACAATAAATCAAATAATAATGAGTTTTTGAGATTGAATCCATTGTAATTGTGTAAATCTTTGTCGATGCTTACAAAGAATTGCTCTTCTTCAGGCCACCAGCATTCAAATAAAGATAGATATTTTTCTTAGACAAGTTTGGCGCAGTAGATACAGGAGTAAATCCAGAATATTGCCCATCTATCTTTGCTAAGTATATATTATTGATGTACTTCATAAGCTCATACTTTTCCATGATTGGCTGGGCTGCGTACTCATCAAATGGCATCCACTGCATCAAAGAATAAAAGTCAATATTCAATGTGTCTTTGGTTGTAATGAATTTACATTTACTCAAGTTCTTTATGAAAGAAATTCAATTTATTGCCCAATTGCATGGGTTAAAGTAAAATGATCTCCGAAAAAGAAAGCTCCATATGTGCAGTAAGGAAAGGAATGACAGAAATTATGGTATTATGATCCAAAACATCGAACATTTTACACAGAAAACAGAGAACATTCGTACCTTTGCAGCCTCTATCTCCAGTTCCTGTACTTGAATGTCAGCAGAAAGAGGGCGCAGCAAGCACACAAAGAAAAGATCTGACTTCTCAAAGAATGACATGTGACTTTGTCTGTTTATCAGATATTCAGATGAAAGAACAAAGGAACTCCAGTTATCTAAATTGTAGAGTCAACAATAATAAGTTTTCCCAACACATTCTAGCCCATAAACCATGGTATCTCTATTAACATTGACAAGTAACCTGACCACGTTAAAGGCCAAGAAGGAGTCCTAGTTTGTGAACAGTTCTTTTATTGTTAGGTATGTGGGACAATATGTGTTGGTGTTTATTTTCCTTTCATTAATCCCTATTTCCTTAAGTCTCCATATTCAACCATTGGAACTTCCTTTTAAAATGTACAAAATGAAATATCTGTATGTAAACATGCTACCTGAATGCCAATACTTCCACAAATTCAGCATCAACCTGAAAATTGAAAGAATCCAAAATCAATAGGTTGAGATCAGAACGATAATTTTACAGTCAATCATATATTCAATTTAATGACTAATGTAACAGAGATTACTAACTCCTGTTTCTTCCTTGACCTCTCTCACTGCTGCTGCACAAATATCTTCTCCCTGCATAAGTTGAATGAGTAGAATATATACAAAAACGTAACTTCCTACACTAGTGTCAAGATATTCAACACATTTACCTGATCAACAACGCCAGTAGGGAATTTCCAGACTCCACTTCCTTGAAAATGTCCAGTCTTTTCTTGAACCACTAAGACCTAAGATCATGAAAAGTTAGGAAATGAATCATTAACACCAAATGCCCATAGATTTGATTTCATCTCAAGCATTAGGAAATGGAGAAAGGATTTAGCACATCCAACATCCTGATCATGTGGTTGCACTACTTTGTGATCACGGAAATACCTCTTGTTTTTCATTTACGACAAATGATCCGACACCCACGCGGTGTGTGGCATTTGCTGGAATAGTATCTGCAGAGGCAGGAATCCAGTATACAAGCATTAAATATTTTCGTTCTGCATGGTGATACCAAAATCCTTCCTGCACAGAAAATGTGCCACATTAATACGAAAAAGTTAGTGCATGATGTTGAATTCATTTTTTCATCAACCATTAACCAAACCTCAGAAGTGTAACCATCATTAGCGAAGTGAGAAAAAGAGTCACCTGAACTAGAGCTTCAACTAGACTGACCAGATAAATAGGCAATTTTATCCAAACACCCTTCTTGCCCTACGAGAAAGTGTCGAGTCAATAACTCAAATAAATAAAGATGGTGAAAGATTCTAGATTCCCAGTAGAAGTAGTCAAGATAAACTGTATAACAAATACTAACCAATATTTTTCATATTGTGAATCGTCCCTATTGTGAGTTTGTGAGTCAATTAAGTTGCACCCTATGACAAATACATTTAGTTTTATGAACATTGAAGTTAATTTCAAACAAAATTGACTTTATGAAAACTTCATTGTTTATGGATAAAGTCAATTAAGACCGGCGCAGATTGAAATGAAGGTTGTTTATGCAGATAACTCCATTGTTGTATTGAGGATCAGAAAAAGTAATTATATTTTTGGGTAAACTCAGGTATTACCAAAATGAAAGAGAATACGAAGAGAAAGTGATGCATAGTCAACGACAGTTAATGAAAAAGAAGAAACTCAATTTTAGTGCCAGAGGTGCAATCACCTAGAACTCAATTTTAGTGCTTGTTTTGTTGCCCTTTGCAGACAACTGGAGTACATGTAATACCTATATATACATGCAATTTTTAAAATGGAAAAAGCCATGTGCCTGGTTTGCAAATGACCCAGTATGCATCCAACCAATGAATAAAATCAGCAGGAAGATACTCTTAACTATGAAGAATCCATATGAGAGACTACCAGCTGTTTCCAGTGTGAAATTGAAGCCCTGAGGATAGACAAAAAGGTTGCAGAATCCATAGGTTTGTCCATTTCCACAATAACACCATCATACTCATCATCGGTCCATGTTAGCAGTTCAATCTTTGGAACTTGATCTTCTGCAGTCGTTTGTCCTTCTGTAAGGGATGAACCTATCGAGGTTGACATGGATGGAACAGGAACAAGGGTTGCCACTCTCTGGTGCTAACTGCCAAGGGAATAAAACTAATAGGCTTAAATTCCTCATAAAAATGGAACACCACCCAGAGTGAAAACAAAGGGTAGCACTCAGTCTCCACAGCCCTTTTTCCTGATTGAATGGAAAACATAGAAACCAATTTTCAGTAGTCTATCACATTCATATAGAAGCATGAATTACTTGTTTCAACTTTCAACTCAGTTTCAAAAAGACCAAGGTTATTAGAAAACGGTTTACCACCCAAGTGTTGTACATTAGAAAAATGTCAAGGGTTTTTAGTATCTGCAACGTCAATTTTGGCTATATTGACTGGTATTGTTCTCAATTTCCCACAACACCAAAATCTTAACTGCAGTTTAAAACTTTGGGGAAGACTACAAAGATGCTTCTATCAATAATTAAAAAAAAGGATTTTCTTTTTTACTTGACAAGGGCTGTGATAAATAAACTGATTGACATATGGGTTCTGGCTGTGGACAGACACAGACCCCAAAAAAAGGGTTAAAAAGACAGTTAACTAAAGTAGGTAAAATCGTGAAACAAAAGCGAAGACTTTGACAATGGGCAGGGCAGAACAGAAGTGTTGATATAAAGCTGAGAAAGGCTGAAAGCAATCAAAAGAATTAATCGGAAAAGCAAAAGAATTTGCATTTGATTTCGTGCTCGACATGACAAGGTATAGAAGGAACATCAACAATGAAGAAATGATTCAACAAGTACACTTACATGAGAAAGGCAACAGAAAAATGAAATTCAGAAGTGCAAATAGTTTGAGGTTGTTTTGTTAATACCGTTGAATGGTCGGTCAGACGAGATTGTTTTTGGCTTGCTCTGCTATGCTACCTAACCATGTCAATAACTTCAATGCATCTCAATTAGACTAACCAAAAATGTGAAAGTGTGAGATATGATTAAGAGAGAGCTCACTACCACCACGCAATTTCTGAAAACAAAATACAACACACGTGCCGCAACTATATTCCTGGGTTTACTTTACTTCCTTCTCTCGTCCAATAGTGATTATTGAATATTAGTATTTAGGTTAATTAACACATTTTTAAAACTTAATTCCAGATATCTACTTTCTAAACCTATAATCATTTTTCAAATTTATTTCATAAAACTTAATGATAAATTTTAAAACATTTCTAATTTATTTTCTCAATTTCTATTTTTTTTAATAAACATATAAATAAACATCAAATCATATATAAATACGAATTTAAAATTAATTAGTAAAGTATAATACCATTATAAAATTAAATTATGACAATCCCTTGGTATTTATTTTAAGATTTGCATAGCTCCAGAGTCTTGACTCGTGTACTTAATACTAAAGAGATGTTGAAATCTTTGTAATGACAAACAAAAAACAAAAAAACATGAAAAAAAATAAAAGGAATATACAAGATGAATATTTGTTCACAAGATTGAAGTTGAGAGTTACTGTATTACGTTTGTAAGTACTACGTTCAGAACATAATTTAACAATTTTTAGTTCTCAAATCATTATAAAATAAATGTAAACATATTGAGAAAATCACATGTTATTAATAATGTATTTTGTCTATAATAACAAGTATTTGTTTATAAATTATGTTTATCAATAAATTATCAATAGTTAAAATTAATCAGTAAAGTAGTCGTCAATAAGCTTTATTGATGGGTGGAAAAATCCATTAATAACTACATGTGAGTGAATTCGTCTATAAGTACCCGTTAGTAAATATTCGTTGGTAATTATTGATAAATTTAAGTTGGTAGTAACATTTATTATAAAGTACGAAAATTGTGTCTCTTTCTTCCTCCTATTTTCTTTCCTTTATTTTTTCATATCTTCCTCCTCTCATATTCGTCACCGTGTGATTGTCATCAAATTCAACTCCTCCTCATCCTTTTCTTGGTTGTCTTTCTTTTTCCTTTTTCTCTAACTCCAACAACTATCATCATTAAGATTCTTTACCTTTGTGTCATTATTTAGTCACTAACATTCATCCATGTCTTCCACATGCCTTTTCGTCATTAGTGTGTCCTTTATCACGAATGTGTCTCTGCGTTAACTTTCACCCTCTATCGTGTCCCCACTGAGCCACTGTCACGTCACCTTGACCTCCTTTTCTTCTTTTCTCTTCTTCCTTTGTTCTAATTTTCTTTTCATTCGTCTTTCTTTAGTATTAAAAAAACTTACCCAAATTTAAACAAATTTATTGACAAAATAAAATCGTTGCAAATTATAATGATAAGTTATTGACAAAAGCATTTGTCGACCATAAAATTTGTAATTTTTCGACGCTTTATGCTAACAACTTTAACAAATGATAATTGTAATGATAAGTTACCGACTAAAATGTAACGCCCCAGTTTAGGATGTCACTAATCGCATTTAGAATAAAATGTTTCAAAATCCTCTTAACGCATAGTGCCAATTAAAAATTTTGATATTTAAACCTTGCGGAGTTTAAACCAAGTCCTAACTTTAATAAAAATATAATCCAATTACAAACTTTTAAAATTACTAAAATAATTAAGAAATAAATTCAGTCTATTTACATTATTTCTAAAATGCATAACTCAAAAATTTAAAATAAATCAAAGTTGCTCTTCACTCTCGTATTTCTGTCATTCTAAAATATATGTAACATCCCTAGTATATAATTCAGAATCAATTGACAATATCGACATTTTTAATTCTCAATAATTGTGATTATAAATTATTGACAAAAATATTCCTCAATAAATTAATTTGTGAATATTTATAAAACAAATGTCGGTAAATTTATGTTTATTAACAAATTTATCGTCATTAATAATAATTTATTAATCATTAAGAAAATTATAATAATGTGCAGTGTAAATTTATAACTATTAAAAGGGTGTCTATGTTCCATGTGTAGCACTCTTTTCAAGTTGTCATTTTAGATACTTTATTTCTATGCTTTTCCCACACGTTATATTATATATTTCAAATCTAAATAATTCTTCCAATCCAAAAATAAAATTTGAAAATATATTTTATTAAGTGAGACAATATTACCTTCCCAGTCTATCAACTCTTCTTTCCCAGTCTATGTTTCACAAGGAAGCTATTATTAAACCATTGCCCTTACGTTCCATGACTTTCCATAAAACGAACACCGTGTGAAACATTTGTCATCATAACAAATAATAAATTAAAAGAGGAAATATATTTTAATGACAAAGTAATGATAATAATTATGTGAAATTGTTTTTGAAAATGATAAAGTTAAGTAGTCATTAATTTTAATGGTAAATATATTTAAATGTTAATTTTTCGAAACCATCAACAAAACCATTTAACTTTTTATTTAAAGATTACATTAATGCGATACGGGAGGGAAACAGAAACCTACGGGTGTCGGTCTCGTCACTGTCCGCAATCCGAAAGGACCGATCCTTATAACGGATGTCTTACTGTCTGTGACCGGCTATTGCCTATTGCCGCGTTCCTCGTTTGCATCGCCTTCAGTGACACGTCGTTCCAAAATCAAGTTCTATAAATCCCGACACTTGCCAAGTACTCCAACGCTATCTCTCAACCCAACCCTTTCATTTTCATTTTCATTTTTCAATCACTTCACTGTCACCATGGAAAATGGAGGCTTTCATGGCTACCGCAAGCTCCCCAACACCACCAACTCTGCTGGTAAACCATTAAAATATTTATGTGGATAACACCACCAATATTTTTATTCCCTCTCTCTCTCTCTATTGCTTCATTTTTATCTTTCTTTTCATTTCTAATCCATTTTTGTTTCAATATTTTAACTTCATATATCTCTATAAGTGACTCCATCAGCAGTATACATTAATATACTTCTGAAATATATCTGTATATTTAATATACAGTAGCTGTCTTGGTGATTCTACCATGCATGTAACCTATTTCTCTTTTCAGTCTTCACCTAATTTTCTTGCCAAATCCACTGACCCGTGATGTTTTCAGTGGATTCAGTTCTTTCATTAATTTCCAGCATTTAATTTCCTGATCTCTTTCTTTCTCGCAAAATCTGTGTGTGTGTGTGGGTATACATCATTTTGAGCTTAGAAGCTGCGGAGTTTATTTTATTTTTCTTCATCGGTTTCCCTAATCTGAGTGCGAGCCTGCGTAGTGGTTTGGTTTCAGTAAAGCAACAAGGTGAAATGAAGATGATGACAATAGTGGTTTATGGCTTTACATTTTAGAATGGAACAAGTGGCACGCATGCATGCATGCAATTACTGACTTGCTTGTTACAAGTGGCATTCATGCATTCTGCAGCATCAGATATCAGAATACAAGGATCTGTCTCCATACCACAAGTTTCTTTTACCCTCCTTCCCGGCCATGGTGTGTTGGGCTTACAAATATATCTACATGCATTATATGCAGATTCCAATCCAGCCATTAATGTTTTTGAACAAGCCCTAAGTCCTGTAACTTTTAAAGACCCTTCTTTTTTTTTATGAGAAATGCATTATCATAGTATACATATCATGCATTCTATTGAACTCTAGTTTTCTCTCTAAAATGTGATTTGGATGGTGCTGGTGTGGATGAACTATTTTCATTTTTCTGCTTCAAACAAAAGTTTATCTCCACTTGAGGATTCTCTGAGTGTTGAGATGGCAAAGTTTGAAAGAAAAAACGAGTGTGGACCATCCTGGTGCGTTACATGCAGATGCAGCCAGCCCCTTGTCTTTGAAATGCGTTTCACACTGACGAATGCATGAAAACAAAATAAAGCCGTGAAAAAGAGGACCGTTTATTTGAATCCCTCTGTCCTCTTTAATATAAATCTTATGACTTGAGAGCTGTTTTTTGTCCTTTTCCCCATATTCCTCTTCTCAAGAAAGCACAACTTGAAGCTCTCAAGTGAGTCTCACTCCTTTTACTCCTTTCGGTCATATCAGTTTCACACCTTCGTTAAAACCTGACGTCTATCCCTTAACTTTATCTATCCACCCCCGATTCATTTTCAGGTAGTTTTTTCGGTAACATAAAATCAATGAAAAAAGTACTATGTGTGTGTGTGTATATATATATGTGTGTGTTTGCATACATACATAACCTTAACCTTCACGTATTCACAGGGCTGAAGCTGTCAGTGCCAGACATGAACAACACGAACGTGAGGCAGGCATCTGGAGAGAACAGCAACAACAACCACGCAGCAGATGAGACCAACAACGAATGCACCGTGAGGGAGCAAGACCGTTTTATGCCAATCGCGAATGTGATTAGGATCATGCGAAAGATTCTCCCCCCGCATGCCAAGATCTCTGATGATGCCAAAGAAACAATTCAAGAGTGCGTGTCTGAGTACATCAGCTTTATCACCGGAGAGGCAAATGAGCGTTGCCAGAGGGAACAGCGCAAGACCATAACTGCTGAGGATGTGCTTTGGGCCATGAGCAAGCTTGGATTTGATGATTACATGGAACCACTGACCATGTACCTTCACAGGTATCGTGAGCTCGAGGGTGACCGAACCTCCATGAGAGGTGAATCACTGGGGAAGAGGACTATTGAATACGCCCCTATGGGTGTTGGCGTTCCCACTGCTTTTGTGCCTCCACCGTTTCACCCCAATGGATACTATGCTCCTGCCATGGGGACTTACGTTGCGCCACCAAACCCTGCGTCATCTCATCACCATGGAATGCCTAGCACTGAACCGAGTTCTCGCTCCA